AATTTACTTGAGACTTGTTAATGTTTCTCACTTTAACAATCACACCATCAATTAGTTTTTCATATTCATGGTTTTGAATAAAACCATGATTTTTTTAATAACTAGTAAATTAATACCTTTCATGAACTTTAATAGTAAGTTGGTGAACTATCTAATCATCCTTTGATGGCGAGTATATTTTTTTCCAAATAAAAGTGTATTTTTTATATTGGCATAAAATACCTCAATCAAACTATTTTTTATCTTGTTAGCATGAGGGAAATTCCATGTAGCAAAAACCTATATATCTATTACATAAAAAAAATATATAAAATTCAAAATATTGATTCACTTACTAAAATACTTAATAAATGCTTCTTTATTTTAAAAATATACCTCAATGCTTGATAATATTTTTAATCTCAGTTTGTATAATATTATCATCATAAAACGTTGTTTGAATTGAATGATATATAATATTTCCAAAATATTTCCATATTTCCATCATAATTTTCCATAATTTCACCTTAAAAATAATATATTTTGAGTCAGTTACTCTTTATTTGCCAAGTATATAATAGAATTTAGAAATTGAATGTAGCTCTATTTGAAAGCATAAAAAATTATATCATAGCATATTAAATTAATTACTTTATAGGATTAATCTCTGTTTCAGCATCATCAATCAATCACACATAGTTAATAATCTGGTATATGTTATAAAACTTGATTCTTAACAGTTATCATCCAATTCTTCATATTTTCTCTTTTCTCACTCAAAGTTAAAACCCTTCAATTAAAATACTATTTCCAAGATAATCAAAAGTAAACATGAGAACTATAAATTATTAAAGATTATTCACTTTAAAATAAACAAAAGCTTTATTTTATATTGATGAGTTCCAAAAGCTGTATCAAAGGCTACAATGAACGAAGTGATGCAATTTAGTCCCAAAGCATAGAAGAAAGAAATGGATCACATACTTGAGGGCATGAAGAAGTAGATGAAAAACAACACTATAACCTTTACAAAGTTCACCATCTTTTGGAACTATTAGATAATTTGAATCTCAAAAGTAAGATAATTTTTACCTCAATCACCTTTTTGATGGAGAAACACTTCCTCAGGATTTGTGTTCTTCCAAATATATACACTCTGTGCATCCTTGCATCAATTTTTATGTAGTTAATAAGTTAATGGCAAATACTTTTTATATAGATTGTTAATATCCTACATAGTTAGAAAATCATTTTAACAAGAAGGTTTACCAATTGATTTATTCCTTCTCACAATTAGTATATGCTTATTTTAAATCTAATTTGATATGAAATCTCATTGGATTATATGAATCACCCAATATCAAATATCTACTTATGTTAACCATGACAAGAAATCTCAATATATAGTCTGCATATAATCAAACCATTCATAAATTGTTTGACCAAAAAATTGCAAAAGCAACACCAGACCTAGTCTACTTCTAAGTTCTAACTTTTGTGTAAATTCAGCAAGTGTAGTAGATGTTTCTATATTCATTATGTCAAGAAACTAGTAATTATATTTTGTTATTAAGAAATTACCTGATTAACTTTGATTAGTTAGTATTATGATTTTTGTTGGACAAAAATGTCATTTTCATGGAATTCTTGCACCTCATCAATTCATAGTGGATCTTAAATGATTTTCTTGAATTAATATGAAGTTAAATTGATTTTTTACTTGATGTACTACTGTTATACTTGAATTATTTAGGTCAATTAGCATGATGAAATTTAGGGAAGTATTGGATGGCTAAATGGCCACTAACTATATGGATGCACACTGGATGTAATCGAACATGCTGGTGGGCAGGTGGGAGTGCATGTGGGAGCCGCAGGCAGGTGAGCACGCGGGTGGGATTTTAGTGTCTGACAAGATTATGCAAACAAGTTTGCAAGCTTTTTTTTTTTTCTTCTTTACCCCCATTGTAAATAAATAGTCATTCAACTGTTGTGTGGACTCTTTAGTGGCACTCCCTCTCTTTGTATCAGATTTTCGTTGTAGTTTGGAACCCTCAAGTTTTATAACTATAATTTTCCAAACAAAAATTAAATAATATTAATATCATTACCAATAATTAACACAATCATCAATTAATCATAAATCAATCAAAATTCACTAATTGATCAATTCAACTAAAGTAGTATCATACTTACCATAAAATTCCTTGTGAAATCTAAAGTGTCTTGTAGTGCTTAAAGTTTGCTATCCATCCAACAACTATAAGCCCTATCCAATACCTCTCCCTCAGCATCAAAAAAACTCACCTTGTAATCCCAGAAACTTATAGGAATACCTAAGTCTCATTCTATAGAAGGAAACCTAGAGATGGAACTGAGAGACCAAAGCTTTCATGGCCTTAACTTCTCATATTGTTCCTTGAAACAATGCTAGGGAACAAATGTAGTGGAGTTAAAATATATAGATTTTAAGCTTTCCAATACATTTGCATAAATTTCTTGAAATAAAAATATTTCACTTTAGTCCTTGATCATATTTTAACCCTCAAGAAACATTCCACCACGCTCACAGCCTCTGCTTTCAGGAAAACTTGACGTAATAAGGCCCAATAGAGGATCATAGTATCCAACTATGAAGCCTGCATAAACACCAATCATCATTGCATATGTTGAATACAGCATCCGTATGTCTAGGTATGAAGATAAAAAATGCTATCATTCATACAGATACATCTTCTCAGACTGTTAATTTGGTTTCTGGACCTCTCAAGTTCGGGAAGAAAGCTCCAGAGGCTGAGAGATGGAAACGATGAGCTAGAAGATGGGAAAGAGAACGAAGATGGCGATGGAGGCTAGCCAAGGTCACAAGATCAAGTAAAAAGCATATTCCATTCTAGGAAATCCACAGATTTTTCCCTAGATTGTCTGGTAGACTCCAACTGAGACTCCTTGTGAAACTAAAAATATACTGCCCCATAGACCTGGAACAAACCTCCTCAAATGCTGGAATTTAACATCAACCTGGGTAGTAGGATCGATCCTCAACTGAAGACCAAAGGGCTACCTATACGTTCTTGAAGTTTGCTTGCCATCCAACAACTATAAACTCTGTCCAATACCTCTCCCTCAGCGTCATGGAAACTCTCCAGTAAAATCTTGTACTCCCAGACGATTCTTAGATACTTGTACACCTCAGAATGGGATCATACTGAGAACAAATGTAGTGATCATATGAGCGTAGTGGAATAGCTTGAATTTTGACGCAATAAGACCTAACAAAGGATGTTAGACACTATCATTGCATATGATGCACCAGCAGCTTGATCTCTGTTGTATCAAAGGCTATCAAGCAAAAGAAAGAACCAGGAGAGACTATGAACACTCGGATCTGGTTTTTGGCAAACCTGGGCATATAACGCGACTGTGCTCTAATAAAAAACCAATGTCCAGTGTTCCTTTTAGGAATGTCAAAAACGCCTTTCCAAGACCCCAAACCCTAAAATTTTGTTTGTTTTGACCGGGGAATCGAACGGCTGGTTGGTGCTTCCACGTGGCGCAACCTGTGCCGTCAGCTCCCCCAGTGTGGACTCTACATAGCTGAGGTGAGGATAACCCCTGAGGAGAGAGAGAGAGAGTGAGGTTTTTGGCGAGAGGAATGGCTATGGCGACTGCTGGAGCAGCAGCATTCGCAGCGACTGGCCACGTCGTGGGAGGAGGAGCCACCTCCTCGTCCTCGTCTGCCGCCTCCGCTGCTCCATGCCGATCGTCCCTCTTCAAGGCATTCGACGCGAGGCTAGGAGCGTCCAAGATTTCCCACCTCCGCCGCCCCGCCGCGCGGATCCAACCTAGGAGAGCTTTCAGGAGCCTGGCTGCTAGCGCGGTGAGTCTAGCACTTTTCCATGGAGATTTCGACGCCTGCATTGTGGATTTTCCTCTTTTCTAGAGCTTGGATGTTCCATTGGTGGGAAACAAGGCTCCGGATTTCGAGGCCGAGTCGGTCTTCGATCAGGAATTCATCAAGGTATTCACGAGGAAAATGAAAGGTTCCTCTTTGCTGTGTTCTTATCTCTCCCATGTCTTCGCCGCAGGTCAAGCTTTCGGACTACTTGGGCAAGAAGTACGTCGTTTTGTTCTTCTATCCTTTGGACTTCACGTTCGTTTGCCCGACAGGTTGGTCGGTGACAATTGTGTTGGTTGGAAGATTTCTCCTAACTTTTTCTTTTCCTCCTGCTAGAAATCACCGCTTTCAGCGATCGTTACTCAGAATTTGAGAAGATCAACACGGAAGTGCTCGGAGTCTCTGTTGACAGTGTGGTACGTGGAACTTTTCTCTTTAATTTTCTTTGCTCTCTGGCTAACAAAAGGATGCTCTTGCAGTTTTCCCATCTGGCTTGGGTTCAAACCGAGAGAAAGTCGGGCGGCCTAGGCGATTTGCGCTATCCCCTTGTTTCAGACATCTCCAAGTCGATCTCCAAGGCTTACAACGTACTCATCCCCGATCAGGTTCGTGACAAACTCCGTGTATACTTTGCGCAGATGACGTTCTCTGTGTGTCCAGGGAATTGCCCTCCGAGGCCTCTTCATCATTGACAAAGAAGGGATCATCCAACACGCTACCGTTAACAACCTTGCGATTGGAAGGAGTGTAGACGAGACCTTGAGAACGCTTCAGGTGACGAAAGCTCGGCTGAATGCGAGTTTTAAGTTTTGATCTTTTTCTTCATTGTTTCTTCTAGGCGGTCCAATACGTCCAGGACAATCCAGACGAGGTGTGCCCCGCCGGATGGAAGCCTGGCGACAAGTCAATGAAGCCCGATCCAAAGCTGAGCAAGGACTACTTCGCTGCTATAGCTTGAGCTCCCATGAGGCTCAAATAAACAGGTTTGTTTCGGTGGAATGCTCCCATGCAAGGAGATCTCGAGAGGCAAAAAGGGAGTTTTTGGTTTCTACATATTTGCAAGCTTACAAGATCACGACGTTGAATGCAGTGGAAGCGTCGTTTGCTCTAGTTCCTCGCTCTGCTAGATTTGTTTCTTGGCTTTGCCACTCCTGGGCTTGCCGGTGTTCACGTCCACCCCAAAAGCGCCGAGGCGTGCCGACAGCTTCGCGATCTCGCGCACTGCGCCATCACTCACCGTGCTCTTGTCGCTCTCCAGCTCCTCAAACGCCGCCTCGAACGCATCCTGCCAGAAGCTGCCACTGCTCTTGTCCTCCTTGCTGCCGAAACGGTAGCCACTCCAGGCATGCCGCACAATCTTCTCTCGCATCTCCGCCTCCTGCCAAGATCCAAGCCTACATTGTCGATCCAAGCCAGCCACCACCACCCAAGACAAAGCAAACCCACCAGTGGATCCACACTCGCCAATTCGTCCTCGTCGCCACCTCCTCCATGGTAGTGATCCATGGCCGCCAACAAGAAGCGGCTCGTCTGCGTGTGTGCTGCGGCGGACCATTTCCTGGCCAGGCCCAGCCCCGCGCTCCCCGACAGCATCGACCACACCGCCAGCAGCAGGATGATCGCCACTGCCCACGCCTTGTAGCCGTGGTTCCTCGTCCACCACCCCACCTCCTTCATCGCTTCTCCTTTCCCCTGTAACCTATCTCTTCTCTCTCACGCGTCGAAAACTTACATATATTCACATCCTCCACAACACAAAACTTTCACTATCTTCGTTCGCCACCACCGCTGCCGCCACCACTTCCAGGACCGCCTCTAGTCTTGCCTTCGAACAGCTCGCCCAGCAAGCGATCCAAGTCGTCCGCCGTGTACTTGATGTACCTCTGCGTGTTCTTCCCATTCTCCAAAATGGCACTGCATTGCAGAGCATCCGTATCTTCCCTCGTGAACAAAACAAAAGAAAAAAATACCTGTAGCGTTTGATGAAACTCCGGTATGCTGGGAGTAGCACCTCGGCGACAGCCAGCCGCACCGCATCTCGCAGCTCCGCGTCTGGAATGGTCCATTGGGACTGCCGTTGATGAAGCTCCTCGAACAAAATGTTGAAGTTTTTGAACCTGTGTGAACTCTCACCTTGACAACAAATAACAAGAAAGAAAACCACTCACAAACCTTTCTTTCAGCACGGCTCTGGATATCCCACTGCTGGTTCCGTCAGGAGCTCCTCCCGTACTCATCCCGCTGCCTCCCGAAGAGGACGACAATCCCTGGCCACTGAGGTATTGAAGTAGCTGCAATACCCAGCCAAGTTCGCTTCAAGCAAGCCAGGAGAAAAAAACCAATACCTTTCCCCACGCTGTGCGCTGATATGCCTGAGCATGCTGCTGGACGATGCGGCGATGCCTTTGAATCCAGTCATCCCCGAGAAGGTCTTTAGCCTCCGACCTGCAGAGAGGTATGACTTTTAGCTCCCAAGGCTTGCTTGCTTGCTTGCTTGCTTATACCTTCGCACGGATTTAACCATGTAATGGATGTTGTTCATGAGAAAGATATGCGTCAGAGCAGGGTCCTTGTACTGCTTCGCCTTAGAGTCAAGATTGTTCTGTAAAACGACCATAATTTTCGATGTCGCTGCTGCCAACCGGGAACTCGACACATCCTTGTCCTCCTCATCAAAGAGTTGCCTCAATGTGATTTGGTAGCTGCTCGAAACCACAGGAGACAAACAAACAGCAAGTTATGTCCAGCTACCAGAGGCAGATTAACCACTTACTCAAAGAGAAACTTGACATAGTTAATGACGTAACTCGTAAGCGGGTGGACCGTACCATCCTGGACAGCAGTTTTTGTTGCGTCTTTCTCCACAGCATCCAGAAAATCATCAAAGGTATCACGAGCAGTTTGTGCTAGCTTCTGAGTGAGACCAGCAGCTGCATCACGAACAGAAGCTGATGTCTCCCCTGCGAACATTGTTTTCATCTGCACAGCGCAGCCAATTAAGAAACCAGAGACGAGATGAGATACCTCCGGCAGAAGATCATGCATAGTCTCGAACATGTCCAGGAGCACAAAGAGCTTCTCAGGGGACTTTTTGCTCCTAGCAATGGCTTCGCCGGTGCTGCTCAGCACGCTGAAGCTGTTCTGAGTGATGTCTGCAAAACAAGCCTCTCTGTAAGGATCTAGGCCATCGAAGACTTGATTGCAGAGCTTCCATTCCGCTGCAAAGAGGAGTTTGACCTGTGTTTTTATCCTTCTCTTATGTTAAAGCGCAACAAAAATCTTCTCTCTCTATGGAAGAAAAAAATAAAAATGGAGACAAAAGAGAAAGCATGACTTACAGCAGCGCGCATGTGTTGGATCCAGTTACCAATCTTTCCCTCCAGCACCTCCCACTGTAGCTTTTGGACGTCTTCTCGCGTGAGCTTCTCCACTCCTAGCTTACGGAGGCTCTGCTCCAATACAGATGCTCTCGCGTCTCTGCAAGGCAAAAACGAAGTCATGACGTAACAGTTTTCCCTTAGACCAAACCTGTAGGTTTTCAAGCATTGCTGGTGGTGACCAGAGCCGATCATGCGCTCAGCGATATCGTGCAACTGAGGGACAATCCTGGGGGGAAGTAGCATCGGAAGCACAACCGCATCGTTGGTGGTGGCAGGAGCATCAGGTGTAGAATTGTCATGGTGCGCTGGGGCAGTCTTGGGCAAGGATTCCAAGAGCCGTGCTGGTTCCACCGGCTTGCTGCACAGAGGGAGCCAAGATGAGATGAGAAACGAGAATGAGAGAAACCAAAACCCGTGTCTTACCCGTGCTGGGAGAGGACAAGTTTGAGCTCTCCATTTAGCTTCTCCATGGCTTTGGAAAGAAGCGTACGTGCATGGGTGAGCGCAGCGTCGTCATTCTTAAAGCTGCGATTGTAAGTAAAGAACTCGATGTTACGCTTGATCTCATCCACGGCCGCGACGTAGCCTCCCAGATCCTCGCGAGGCCCTTTGAGGATCTTGGTTTCCACCTGACAGATAAACAGTGATTCTCTTTTCACTTCTCTCTCCTTGGAAAATGTCTTACCTGCCGCGACACATCAAAGCGCGTGAGAATCGCTTGAGCCGCCTTGAGCGTCTTGTCGATGTTGTGGTGGACAGTCCTGTACGAGTGCGTGCGCAGCTAGCGAGAGATCACGATGAGGAGGAATCGAGAGAGAGAGAGAGAGAGAGACGTTTCGATGAGAAATTTCTTACCTGCGTGGGGCGCATGGCGGATTCCAGGCCCGACAGCCGCGCATCGAACGATCCCAGGATGCTCATCACGCTCTGCGTCACACTCTGGCTCCTGTGAAGGCTGTCGCGCAGCAGCAGCGCCGTCGCCGCCAGGGCGTCGCCATCCATCGCCATTCCCCTGTTCTCCCCTAACCTAGATAGGGTTTATTTGGAGCCAAGGGAAGAAAAGGTACTACCAAGAAAAAAAGAGGAGTGGGAGCACTCATGGATGAAGATGGACACAGTTGCGCTCCAGGCCATGATCCGGAGCTGTGGCCACGCCAAGGATTTGGCGCAAGCGCGCCGGCTCCACGCCTTGGTCGTCCAGCAGCACCAAAATCAAGATCACCAGCAGCAAGTGCGCTTCCACTTGAACCTCCTCATGGAAATGTATGGCAAGTGTGGAAGCGCCGACGATGCGGCGGCCATCTTCTCGACCCTGCCTCGCCCCAATCTCTTCTCCTGGACAATCCTCCTCACGGCATTTGCCAGAAACGGGCATGTCCTGCAGGCGCGAGAGGTGTTTGACGCAATGCCCAGGCGCGACATTGTGGCCTGGAACGCGCTTCTTGCAGCATCTTCGTCTACAGATCGCCTTGAACAAGCTGAGAAAGTTCACTCGAAAATGCCGCATTGGAACGCATCTTCATGGAATGCCCTCGTTGCAGCAAATGCCGAGGCTGGGCATTTGTCTCAGGCAGCAAAGCTGCTCCACGCTATGCCCCAGCCGAACACGATCTCCTGGACAGTTATGATGGGAGCCTACGCGCGCGCCGGGATAACGGATCTCTCTGTGGCCATCTTTGACGAGTGCATTCCCTCGGGGCGCGACGTGGTGGCCTGGAACGCACTGGTAATGGCATATGCCGCGGCGGGGCAAGACGGGCATGCCGCGCGGACCTTCGGCTGCATGCCGTGGCACGACCAGGTGGCCTGCAACGTCATGCTGCACGCCCACTGCGCGGCGGGCAGGATGGGCGACGCCGCGCGCTTCTTCCACACGGCCATGCTGACGCACGACACGGTGTCGTGGAACGTGCTGCTGCACGGGTATGTGCGGCTGGGTCAGCTGGAGGATGCCCAGCGGGTGTTTGACGCCACGCCGCGCAAGGACGCCGCGTCATGGACCGCCATGCTTACCGCCTACGGCTCTGCGGGGCGCGTGGATACCGCACGGCGTCTGTTCGACGCCATACCGCGCGGCACGCGGACTGTCATCACCTGGAACTCGATGCTCGGCTTCTTTGCCGACAACGTCGCCACCTTCACGTCCTTCCGCCAGAGGATGCCCGCTTGGGATACAACCACTTGGAACGTCACTGTGGCTGCGCTTGCTCGCGCTGGACAGCTCCAACAAGCAATGGAAATGTTTGAATCGACACCACAAAAGAACCAGCTCTCTTGGAATGCTGTTGTTGCAGCAAATGCCCAAGCCGGGCATCTGAATAAAGCCGAACAGTTTTTGGCTCTCGCCCCGGCTCCCACTACTAACACCTGGAATGGCCTTATTGCCGGCTATGCCCGCCACAGCCACACCACTACCGCGTTCCACCGCTTCCGTGACATGCTACTGTGCGGCATACCGCCCGATAACATTACCTTTGTGTGCTTGCTGGTGGCATGCAGCCACGTCGGGCTTACCGCCGCGGCATGCCGGCTCTTCCGCTCCATGCAAACCGACTGGCAAATCACTCCCACGCCCGACCACCACAGCTGCATTGTCGATAGCATCGCGCGATCCGGCCAGCTTGTGCTCGCACAAGAACTTGTCGAGTCACTCCCGCAGTATCGCCCATCAGTCGTCTCGCTTGTATCCGCCACGGCCATGCATTGTGACGACAAAGTCTTACAGGGCGTCTTGTCACGCTCCGCTTTCTCTCCTATCTCCTATTATTCAACATATATGTCAGTATGATAATTGTCCAAACGCTACAAACCACCATAGCTGTGCTAGCTAGCTCACTAGCATCACTGGAAATATATCCACATTCCACTACTATCGCGTCGCTCACTCGATCGATCGCCTCTAGACAGTGTAGGCCTGCTGGATGGTGTTGATGTCCAAACCTTTCAACCTCACTACAGATTCGACGTGACCCTTTAAAGTGTGAAGCTCTCTCAACCTGCATCCGCGGCTTAGCCTTGACACACAAAAAACAAAGGAAAAACAGAAAAGTACCTTGCAATCTCGGCTCTCCTTAAAGCCTGCTCGGCCATGTCTGACGTCTCTTTGTGAGTACCCTTCTCGGGTATCTTGAAGTCCGGTGGCTGGAGCCCGTGTAGAGTTCGTTGCGCCTGAGCCCACTTCACTTCCCGAGCCTCCCTTCCGAAGTCTTTTTGGCGCGTAAAAGCAGTCTGGAACACACCAAAATGGAAATAGTCAGTCTCCCGCCAGGCAAAGGTATAACACTACTTACTCTTTGCTCGAATAGAAGCTCCCATGCTCTGCCACTTAGTATGTAACGCACAGCGAACTTGATAACATCCAGAGGGAAGTAGAAGACGATGTTGTATAGCCATATAACACCGGCCCAACCCCAGCCAATTCCCTCCACAAAGGCAAAGCCCCAGTTGGCGTACACGGCAATAAAAGTCGCAATCTGACAATAACATCGCTCGCTCAATCCGAACCAAAATCAAAATTGTGTAACTTACCAGCTGGGCAATAAGAAACGCCACAACGAGAAGAAATCCAGGCCTTTCCATGAAGGACCAGCTTCTCGACCTCGTGACGAAAATCAGAGCCTGGCTTACGATACTAACTTGCAAATAGATGGCCGAATGCATTTTGTTGGCATCGCTTCCAATGTGAGGAACGTGGAAATGGTCCTAAAAGAAAAGAATTTAGCATTGATACTGAAACACAAGTCTACTTACAGGGAAAAAGGTAGTCTGGTCTGCCAGCCAGTAGAAAATGACTGTCATAAGCGCAAGGTAACTGCCGATCACAACTCCTGTCGCAAAAATCTCCGAGAGCTTCCAACTGTCAGGCAAAGGAGATGGTTTCACTCTGTCCTTGGAGATGGTCATGATTGTGCCTGCCCAGCAACAGCAAGGTCATAGACAGCGAAGAGAAATCTTTTACGTACCATCGTTCAATATTGCAATGATTAGCACCATGAATGGGGGAAAATCGAACTTCCATATCAACGCCAGCAGCATAAAACCAAGCTAACGAAGAAAAACATGTGTATCAAAATCCTTTGAAACAAAGAAAAGTGCATACTTACCACTATCCTTATAGTGATGGATACGGCATAAATCTGTAAAACCACACATAAGCTAACAAGAGATCATCGAATGTATCAAAACTTACAGTATAGTTCTTCATCCTCTGAAAAATCGCGCGACTTGTTAGCACGGCGCTTATTATCACGCTCAGGCCAGGTTCTGTCAGGACTATATCTGAAGCACCCCTTGCTGCATCTGTTGCATCTGCCACTGCAATTCCTATATCTGCCTTCTTCAGAGCAGGCGCATCATTGACACCATCACCAGTCATTCCACATATATGCTTCTTCATTTGCAAACGCTTTACTATCTCGTACTTGTGCTCTGCACATGAGAAAGGTAACATAGTTGGCTTCAGCAAATAACAAGATTACCTGGAAATACCCCCGCAAATCCATCGGCTTTTTCAATCAGTTCGTCAATTGGCAATCCTTCAAATGCCTCCCCTTTGCTTTGTCCAAGAAGCGAAGATGACGGATACATGTTAGTGCCCATGCCAAGACGTCGGCCAGTTTCTTTTCCAATAGCAAGCTGGTCCCCTGACGGTAGTGACACGTAAAAAACCAGCACCAGAATGCTCAAGAACAGACGTACCAGTTATCATCTTTACGTTGACCCCAAGATTCAGGGCCCTACGAATAGTCTCGGCGCTGTCATGCCGAGGAGGATCAAACAAAGGCATTAAGCCTACAAATTGCCATGGACCCCCTGGACTCTCTTTGTTGCCCTCGGGAACGTCCTGTAAGTACATATGCTGTTAGCAGCCAACAGTCCAACATTCCATTACCTGGCATGCGACTGCAAGAGAGCGAAGGCCACGCTCAGCAAATTTGTCAATGACGGCGTGCACCCTTTGAGCAATCTCAACCTTATTGTAAGAAAGATCTAATATCTGCATATAAGCCCACGGCTTAGAGCTGCAACCAAACAAAATAGAGAAAACACCTGCTCGGGTGCGCCTTTGCTTGCTCTGTGCATCTTCCCGTCAGAGTCAATATAAGTCAGAGCAGTACGCTTATCCGTAGGATTAAATGGAAGAAAGTGAACTTCCTCAATACCAGCACGGGCCTAAGCAGTTTACATCATAAGAAAACAGTAGGAAACAAAACCGATAACGTACCTCTTTTGGATCAGCAAGCGTACCGACAACAGCTGCGTCAATGGCATCTTGATTTTCCATCCTTGACGCTCTAGCAGCAAGTAGCAAAACGTAATCTTTGTCGTATCCTTTTGCAAAAACCTGTGCAGAACGAACACAGCACTTAAAAACGTTCAGTCTTGGATAAAACTTAAGTACCTCCACGAGATTCTTGTCGACGGTTAGCTTATTCAAAGTTAAGGTGCCGGTCTTGTCACTGCAAAGGACATCCATTCCTGCCATCTCCTCTATTGCAGTCATTCGCTTAGTAATAGCACCCTGACCAAACACATGCCCATTGTCAGCATTCCTGATCACTAGCTTCTTACCTGCTGCGCAAGCCGGTGAGAGCCAATTGCCATTGTCACGGAGAGAACAGTGGGCATAGCGATGGGGATGCCTCCAATCAAAAGTACCAGCAGGTTGTCAATCCCGGACCTGTAGGTTCTATGTTGGATGGGGTACATTACTATAAGTTCGATAACCATTCCAATCGCAATGGAGCATATGCAGAAGTTTCCGATTGCTGTAAGAACCTGCGAGAGAAAGAAAACAATGAAAAAACGATTTTAGAGAGAAAAAAAAACATAAAAAGGAAAGGATATTACCTTCTGGAAATGACCGACTTGATTTGTAGTGTCTACCAGATGTGCAGCCTTTCCAAAGAAAGTGTGAACCCCCGTCCCTATCACAACTGCCTCAATCTCTCCTTGCTTGCATGTCGACCCCGAGTAAACTTCGTCGCCAGGATACTTGGTAACAGGTAGAGATTCGCCTGTAAGCGCGGACTGCAAGTCAAAAACATGCGCAAACCATTAGAGTCGTAAGGTGACGTTTGTTCTGCGTACCTGGTCTATTTTGAGAGGGTCTCCTTCAAGTAAACGGGCGTCCGCTGGAACGATATCTCCCAACTTGATGCTTACAATGTCACCGGGAACTAAAATACTGGCATCCTGCTCGCCCCATCGACCGTCTCGCAACACCTGAAAGAAACATAGAAGAGAAATAGAAAGGACAAGAAAGTCACGAGCTGCTTAAGACAGAAAGTACAACTAAACTATGCTTACCTTAGTCTTTGGTGCAAGACGCGCCATTAAGGCCGCCGCCGCATTTCCAGCGTTGTTTTCTTCAATGAAGCTTATGGTTGAGTTAATGACGAGCAATGCTATGATCCCAACGAAGTCTTGCCAGTCGGGCGGCCGATTCTGTCAAGGGCGGCATACATATCAAGCAGGCTAGAAACAAGACAGTACTCACGTCTCCGTTAGCGAGAGCTATGGCCATCACTGCTGCAGCTTCCATCACCCAAGACAAAGGATTCCACATGAATCCCAGGAACTTAAAAAACTTGCTCTCCTGCAATGCAAAGTGCCAGTTATATTCCTCATCACTTGGTGTTAAGAGGCATGCTACAAACCTGCTTCTCCTCTAGCCTGTTATGACCAAAAATTTTGAGGCGCTCCTCGCCCTCTTCGCTCGTCAGACCTTTCCTCGTGCATCGCAGTTGATCAAAGACCTCCTCAATGGGAATGTTTTCCTGGCAGCAGCAAACCAAAGAGATTATCGATTTTCCATCACCCCAGAGGAAAGATTTCCTACCAGATCAACGGCCTCCTTGTTAATGGCCTCGAGCATTGCAGCCTTGCTGGGCTTCTCTACGTCGTTCTCCATTCTCCGTGAAAAGCAAGCCCCAAAATCACCTCAATTTCTTCGGGAGATCGGTGCCACGATTCAAGCTTTATCTCTGCCGCCTAGGCGCCGCAGAGGCGCCGTGCGAGCGGAGGGGCGATTCCGAGCGGCGATTCCCAAATATTCTAACTAGCTGCTTAGCTCGATGCGAGACGCGGCGCCGCAGATCGGCATCCAGTGCATGGCCGAGACAAAGAAATCCTCCAGTAGCGGCTCGAGCAGCAGCCAGAGCTTGCGCGCATTGGAGGAACCCTGCTGCTGCCTCCCTCAATTGAAAAGCCTGACACCCAGTGCCGGATCCAACGGCCAGGATTCTTCGCGATTGCAGGCCGGAATGGCCAGCAGATACGGAATGCACGGTCGGCCGGGATCAGGCGCACTCACACGCACACGAACCAGAGCAAAAGTGGGATATAGCCTATAGCATCCAGCTAAAATGCCCACTACTCCAGCTAGCTGGCTCCTCCGCTAAAACCCGCGCCGCCTCCATATCTGGCCGGACGCGCCCTTGGAGGCCCAGCGAGATAGCGGTCGATCCAGCAACTACACCGCCACGCCGCTACATCTAGCAACGCAAGTCGTTAAAGGAAGAAGACTGAGGTGAGGTACGTACCTTCTTCTTAAAAGGCAGGCCACCAAACACCAAACAAATTGTTCCATCCTCCAATCGCCATGTAGGCTATGGTCCACGCCATGCCATGCCATGGCATCCCATTTCTTACATCTGTTTCTTGTTGACTTGTCTCCTCTCGTACTTGTGCGTGTCCTCCGTGCGTCCGGCCCGTACTTGACCGTGCATGGCATGGCATGTGTATGGCCATGATGCCCATGTGCATGGCCATGTGCCGCATTCCCTGTCCTAACGTTACTGTCTGGGTGTAATCGATTAATATGCTCTCCTTTTGCTTTCGTTTGAAAAGAAGGGAAGACGATAGGGAGAAGGATTGACCCGAAATTTTTCACGGTCTCGCATATTAAATGAGAGAGCAGGAAGAGACGTCGCAGACAACACCACGGGCTTTGTCTGACTGCCGCTTCTAGAGGATGGGACGAATTACCTCTTTAATTTATATGATGATACTTATGCCCAGCCAGGGCAACTACGTGGTTGGCAGCATTGCACGACCGGCGATGACAATGCCCCAGCGAGGCAATCACGCAATAGCACCAGCCAGCCAGCCCTGGTGGAATGAGGTGCCCATGATAATACCCCCGCCCCACCTCACCCACATTCGCGCCTGGATGCCGTTCAAGCGCCGGGGCTAGGGTTTATCCAAGATCTGGGCTATGGCTGCCGCATTGGCGGGCGCTTGCGTGGTGCCGGCGGAGGCAGCGGCGATCCGGCGGAGCGGAGCTGTGGAGTTGAGGCCGCGAGAGAGATTTGTTGTGGAGCAGCAGCAACGGATATGGCGGGCGGCGACGAGCGGCAGAGAGCAATGTAGGTCAGGTGTGCGCATCAGGGCGGCCAAGAAAGTGGAGACCGGGCGATCCTTGGTGATGAGCTCCACTCTGGTTGCCGAGGAGGGCAAGGAGGAGGCGGTGGTGGATTTGTGCAAGGGGGTTCTGGATTGGGCCAGCGAATGCCAGGTATTTTTTGGAATTCTAGTATGGATTTGGCTGATTGCTTTTGGCGTTTCCTTGATTCGATAGAAGAGCGACAAGGCGTGTGGCGTCCTCCAGTTTGAGTGCAAGGCCGATTTGCAGGAGAAGAATGTGTACCACTTTTGGGAGCGATACGAATCGTTTCTGCATCTCACGACGTTCCGAGGTTCTCCAGAGCACGTCAAGTTCATGAAGGACGTAAGCTAGTTCTCCTTCTCTTTCACTTACGTCCATCGCCATCTCCATCTCTGGTTTTGATGGATTCATGTGCTTGCTTGCTCCCAGGTGAGACCGCTGCTCAAGAAACCAATCGGCCTCGTTGCGTACGAGTACAAGGACGGGCAGATCGGGCACGCGCGTGTTCTCATCGGTAAACTCCTTCCTTTGTATGGAACGCATGGAGATGGAACGATCCAGTGGATTGATGGCAGGGCCCAAAGGCGAGGGTGGCTTGGACGATGCAACCGGCCAAGGCAAGCAAACATCCAGGCTCATCGCTCCAGGCGACACATACGACGACAGCCGCGAGGACTGGGGGCTCAAGGAGGCGCTGGAGGCCAAGAAGAAGCAAAAGGCCAAGCAGTGGGAAGCTATGGAGCGGCAGAAGCAAGCGTTCCTGGCGCGGTCGCAGAAAGGCAAGGACGAGGACGAGCCATTGTCTCCCGAGGAGGCGGCGCGGCAGAAGAAGGCCCTGGCGGAGATCTTGGGCCGCTTCGAGGCGGAGAAGGCCGCCAAAGCGGCGCAGGAGAAGGAGAATCCCGGCGGCGCCGCTGGTTGGGGAGATGGTATCAAAAACTTGTTTGGTCTCAAGAAATAGAAACTTGGCGCCACGGTTTAAAGATGTGGTTTTAGGGCTTTTCTAGGGTTCTTGAAAAGCTATGGAGGAGGAGGCTGCATTGACGGAGCAGGAGACGGCCGTGTACGATCGCCAGATTCGTGTGTGGGGCGTCCAGGCGCAGAGAAGGTGGGAAGATTTTCGTCATTCGCACTGATCGGCGGCATTGCCTTTCTCCAGGCTGAGCAAATCTCGAGTGCTTGTGGCTGGATTGACTGGTGTCACAGCGGAGGTACCAAAATCTCTCTCTTTTCTCTGTGAAACTGTGTGTGCTGGATCAGGCATGCAAGAATCTGGTCCTAGCGGGAATTGGAAGCCTCGTTGTGCTGGACGACAGGCCGGCCGTGTTTGATCCTTGTTCTTCCACATTTCTGGTGTGCCATGACCACAACGCTTCCACTGACGAGAACAAGTCCGTTGCCGAGGTCTGTGCTGCCGCTCTTCGAGATTTCAACCCAATGGTCGACGTCACGAGTGCTCAAGGTACTGCTGCTCAACAGTTCTTCCTCTCAAGTGTTTTTGTTTTCTCTCGTAGGCACTTCAGTGATGGATGTGGATAACTACGACGTTGTCATCCTCAACCGTGCCGCTATCAAAGACAAGGTGTGTGTGTTTACTTTTCTGTTTGATTCCCCTCCTTTTGCTCTACTTTCTTGGATGCCTTTCTTGTCATTCCTCTGATTACTGTTTGTGTTTCTGTTCACAGAGGAGAATTAATGAGCTGTGTCGCAGATCGGCTCACAAAGTTTCCTTCTACACTGTCGACTGCATTGGTTCGCGGGGGGAAATCTTTGTCGATTTGCAGACCCATACTTACACTTCCAAGGTTTTCATTCTCCACTTTTTTTTCTTTTTATTTTTTGTCACAAATGTGCTTTGGCCTTTTCTTTTACTTGGCTGACAGGCTGCGGCGGATGCTGCCGAGAGTTGCGAGCTTACAAAGAAGTTCCCAAGCTTTGAGGTGAGACCTTGTTTCCTGGATCATAAAACTGGTACACAATGTAAGCATGTAGGACGTATCAAGCGTTCCGTGGAACTGCCTTCCAAAGAGGATAAGTAAGCTCTTCTTTGCAATGCGAGGTAAGGGGCGCTCATTCATGTTGGGCTGGGTTCGCAACTATAACTTTGCTGGCCAGTCCTCGAAGAATTTGTTCAGGCGACGGGACGGCAAGCCGGCCCCGAAAATCTTCCGGAGCTGCTCGCGTTGCGAACGCAAATGTGCAGCAAACAGGTGGTGGTGGTTTCGTGTATTGCGGAAGCAAAAGCTAACCTCCGCGATGGTTTTAACAGGGCGTGGCCGACTCGTTGATCCCGGAAAGCCTTCTCGCGGGGCTGGCTGGCGCGGACGGCACGGAGTTTCCACCGGTGTCTGCGATTCTGGGAGGCATCCTCGGCCAGGCAAGCCGCTCCTCTTCTCTTCCTTGTTTCCAAAGCGCTAAACTAAATCGCTACAGGAAGTGGTCAAGGCTCTGTCTGGCAAAGGAGATCCTTTGCGAAGCTTCTTCTACTTCGACACTGACGACGGCAAAGGAATCATCGAGGAGATAATCAGTTAGATCGATTACACGCACACCCATTTGTTTAGGGTTGGGGTACCTCTTTGGATCCTGGCAAGGCATGTAGTCACGATTCCACTCGCTGTCCCTAGCTTTGCGGGCGGCCTGGCACTAGACGGGGGTCACAGATTTGATGGCGTCTCGGCACGCCAGCACTAGCAGCAGCAGCAGTAGAAGCATTGGCGACGAGATCCAAGCCAAGCACCAAGGGGGACAGGATGAAGAAGAAGAAGAAGAAGGAGAGTCGAGTGAAGAGGAAGAGGAAGAGGAGGAGGAGGAGGCATCGTCCGAGGAGGAGGGCGCCGACGAATACAAGCGTGGAGGCTACCACCCAGTGTGCATTGGCGATAGCTTCTCGGGTGGGCGCTACGTCGTGCAGCGCAAAGTGGGATGGGGTCACTTCTCCACGGTATGGCTCGCCTGGGACACTCAGCAAAAGGTGAGTGAGTGAGAGTTTTTTTGTGTGACTGACCAAAGTTCTCTCTTCCTTGGCAACTTATAAACACCCCAACAGAGTTATGTGGCTCTCAAGGTCCAGAAGAGTGCCAAGCACTACACGGAGGCTGCATTTGACGAGATCTCCATCCTCAAGCAGATCGCCGACGGCGATCCCAGCAACTCCAAGTGCGTGGTGAAGCTTCTGGATCACTTCAAGCACTCGGGCCCCAATGGCCAGCACGTATGCATGGTGTTTGAGTTCTTGGGTGACAACCTCCTCACCATCATCAAGCTCTACAACTATCGAGGCCTGCCGCTGCCCATGGTGAAGCAGCTGTCCATGCAGATCCTCATCGGCCTCGACTATCTTCACCGCCAGCTCTCCATCATCCACACCGACCTCAAGCCCGAGAATGTGCTGCTCACGCTGCCGCTGGACCCGTCCAAGGACCCGCTCAAGTCTGGAGCTCCCCTCATCCTCTCCAAGCCCGCCGCCGCCGCCGCCGCCGCCACTGCCACTGCCGGCGTTACCAGCAGCTCGCAGCCGCTGTCCAAGAGCCAGAAGAAGAAGCTCAAGAAGAAGGCGGCCAAGGACAAGACTGGCAAGGACAAGGACATGGACAAGGCAGCCGAGGCGATGGTGGCCACAGTGGACGCAACAGCAGCAGCGGTAGAATCAGGCAAAGGCGGCAGTGATGGAGCTCCTCGACACGAGAACCACAAGATCCATGCTGATGAAGCAACAGGAGCAGCGGATGCCCAGGCTCCCGGGGAGGCTCCTCGGCTGGCCAACAAGCACGAGAAGCGGCTCAAGGTGACGGACCTTGGCGAGCTGGACCTGAGATGCAAGATTGTCGACCTGGGGAATGCGTGCTGGACATACAAGCAGTTCACCAATGACATCCAGACGAGACAGTATCGCAGCCCCGAGGTTCTTCTCGGCTGCAAGTACTCCACTCCGGTGGACATATGGTCTTTTGCCTGCCTGGTGTTTGAGCTAGCTACGGGTGACGTGCTCTTCGATCCTCACAGCGGTGACCAATTTGACAAGGACGAGGTAAAGCTACATTTTTGGAACTTTAGTTTCTAATTGCTTTCGAGCGCAGGACCATCTCGCTCTCATGATAGAGCTCCTGGGCCGAATGCCTAGGAAGGTAGGCACTTATGTTTTTCCCGTTCATTGCGCGAGCTTCTCTGATTTGAGTGTGTCATGCAGGTCTCGCTCGGCGGCCGCTTCTCTCGGGAGTTTTTCAATCGCCAGGGCGATCTTCGGCACATAAAGAAGCTACGCTATTGGCCCTTGGACAAGGTTCTGCACGACAAGTATTCCTTTCCTGCCCAAGATGCACAGGAGCTGGCCGAGTTTCTGTGCCCGCTCCTCGACTTCGTGGCTGACAAGCGCCCCACTGCTGGCCAGTGCCTTCTCCATCCCTGGGTAAATCCTGTGCCTCGGACGATCTCCACACCAGCGGCACCAGCAACACCAGCAGCAGCACCAGTAGTTGCAGCGGAGGTGCTTGTAGCTGCTCCTGCCGCTGGTGTCCTTGACAAGAAGAGAAGCGAGAGCAGCGAGGCCATGAAGAAGGCCGAGGTTGCCATGGGCAATATAGCTATTGCTGGGGTAATTGCCGATGCTTCTCCACAAGACTAAATACCTTTTCTTTTTGTTGTATCGATTGTTCTCTATTTATGTCACACCTGACGGCCAATTCTCCAGGAAGCTACAGGTTCCTTGTTTCTGGAAAACAATGTCATGAAACATCCAAATGAAAGCAAATTCTACTCAATAAATTCTTCAAAAAGACCCTGCAAAAAGGAAAGAAGGAAACTAGGCACGAGAGTTCTCACCTGCGAAACCAATGGTTCTACTTCTGAACGTTAATCAAATGTATCGAGTTCCGAATCAGCGAGATAAACTGATCCACGTTTCTAACGTTCTCCAAAACTCTCACTTGGTGACAAGTCCTGCATAGATGAATAAGTAAGAACAAGGTTTCCAGCTAAACATGAAAGGACATACCACTGAAAGATCAAGATCAATCCACCGAGTTGCCATCGTAGTCTTCGAGCTGTTTGAGCTCGATGGTGCTGGAAAGAATAGATCAGAAGACGTTTTTGTATGAAAGAAACCAAGAAAAAAAAACGGAAGCTCGCTTATTACGAAGAATGCTCATGTGATGCATGATTCCTGAACCCTAAACCCTCTGAAAAAATCCACATTTTTGGTGGTTTGAGCGTCCAATCCTTCTCCATGCATTTCCTGTCTAAATTCCTCACAGATCGGACAAAGAGGAATCGAGAGGCAAACGCGAGGGGCAAACGCGGCAGGCTGGAAAATCGCATCACTTGCGTCAACTGGCCTCGAGCTGGTCAAAATGCTCGTTTGTCTCGATCAAAACTTGCTCAAAGAGATCATTCTGCAAAAGTGTCGGTGTAAGAAGACGATCTAGAAGCTCACATTGAACCGCAACAATTGATCTTCCTCAGTGTGCAGGAGCTCAAAGCACAGCTGTGTATAAATCTAATCCTCATCCAGAGGAAACGAAATGAAATAATGATATCATTCCCCACTGTTATCAGTGTGAAATTAAGATTATCATTTGAAGAATATTTCCTAGAATCTTTCAGAAACTTTCAAATATGCCAAAATCATTTTACAAAACAAAACGACATATCCTAAGATGGCCTAAATAAACATGTAGCCTTTTTAGTAAACTTAAGCCATAAAGATCAACGGTGCTAAACCTAGGATTGAGGCTATGGCGGGTGATGAAGAAATGGAAGAGCTTGTGGTGTTCATTGAAGACATAGATGGGGCAGAGGGTCATGAATTTCACCTTTCTGATGGTAGAGTGGACGTAGATGCGGTTCTGCGGGTGTTCTCGGCTACCTCCATCTCCGTGAAGCACGAGGAGCCACCAAGGGTCCGATGGAGGGCTCTTCAACCAAGAAAAGAAGATGGTCTCAGCACAGCAAAATTCCAGACTGGATCTTCTCATGTCATTCGTCCCACAAGAGGTGTGCTACTTTCTTTTTAGGATGGCTTCGGTTTCTACTTAGTGGTTGATGTGCGTGATGTTCTTATAGTCGCTTTTCGTGCTTGGCTAGGGCGGGTTCTTGACTATGACCACTCATTGATTGGGTATGCGTTCTTTCTTTGGTCTTCTCGAGGGATTTTGGCTGTCGTCGTTTGCCTGGTGATCTGGCTATGGGGTAGTGGCGTTGTACCTGGTGGTTTGCTGGGAGCTATGGGTGATATTGGCTCCTCGTGTTGATGAGTTTGATCTTGGTTGAAGGTTTTGTTTTGTTTGTATTCACATGTTATGACAATTCCCTTGTTTCTGTTACAGCCCTACCTGTGACATCCCTCAAAGCTGCTAGGTCAGGTAAGCAGTTGCTTTTGTAGCTGTGTCAACTCTGTTATGCTTTTTGTTGCCTTGCTGACGACCTGAGCTTTATTTTCAGGTGCCCAAATCTGTGAGGTGCTGAATCGCCTATTCTTTGACGATCTGTGGGACAATAGACAACGAATGGGCATGCCACCAAGGCGTCAGCCGGGGGCGCGGTTGCCTCCAGTACTAGAAGATACAGGCCCCTACTTCACGTTGAAGGGGCGGACCGAGACGCTCAAGCATCTCATCTTGTCGGCTGGGCGGATTTTTGCGACTTTCATGAGCACGCAAGACTCGCTTGACTACTTTCTGCGGAGGGATTTCATTATGATGGTCGTGGGGTGCCCAGGTGTGGGAAAGACAACCGTGGGTAGCTGCCTGTCGGAGCTGTTGCTAGAGTACTGGCTGGCGAACAAGGACAATCCCGAGTTCAATCAGGAGCTGGGGGAAAGTCTCAGCGACGATCTCCTTGACGCTTTTAAGGAGATGATATCCAACGTTGTACACAGTGGAAAAGACGTCCGCATGTATCACTCTCTAGAGACGGCACAGAATGGGCAGCTTATGCAACGTGAGGATGGTCTTTACTACGAGCAGATTATGGCTTTACGGTGCCTTCATGCGGCTGTTAGTCGGATGGGTACACCAACATATGACGCATTCCTCCAAAAACTAGACAAGGGAGCTCCAGGTTTGAAGCATCAGTTGAGGCTCGACGATGTTATAGCTTTCATCAGGCAGGGTTTGGGCTTTCCTACAGGGCAAAGGATTTTTCTTTCATGGTACTTTGACGAGGCAAACAGGGCTTCGAAGGATGGGGAGGCGACGTGGTTACAGCACATGTTTGCTGCATACGTCTCTTGGTTCAAATCCAAGCGTGCCTCGGACACGCTTGTGCTGTTTACGGCAGCGACCACACGGTATTCTGCAGCATCGCTCGCCGGGACTTCCTCTGGGAGGGCGCAAACGCTTTACATTCCGCTCCCGCCCTTGACAAATGATGACGTCTACGACATCGTTCAGGAATTCTTCGACCGGGTGGCGAGCTCAGTTTGCCAAGGGGCACGCATCGAACTGAGCAACGAGTGGAAGGTGGTCCTCCGCTTTGCTGGAGGCAATCCGAGGATTGTCTCATTCCTTTTGAATGGGCTGGTGTCACGAAGTTTTGGCGCGATCCCACTGGAGAAGTTCAATATGGAGCTGCAGAAGGGATTAGTTGTGACAAGAGCCAGGGCGTTGGTTGAAA